CTGAAATACTTCAGTAATATTCTGAGACATCCTAAAAAATATCTACATAATATAATGAAAGATTTAAGGTAAAGATGGTCCTGGTAGAAAAAGAACATCTTGGCTGAAAAATCCAAGACAATGGTACGGTAAATTAAGTACATCTTTATTTAGAGCTACTAGTCATGGAAATAGAAGAAGAAGAGAAACAGTAATATATTTGGGAACCATTGTTAAGATTAATATTCAAAGTTATTAATTGTTTTATTTATTATATCTATTAATCTTAGCTTACTAGAGTAATATAAACTATAAAATATTTTTGAATCGAACTTTCTCTATAGTAAAATACAGAGCAGATCGTCACGACACGAAATAGTTTCAAGAGTCAATTTACGCCAGAAGGAAAGTCCGTTATACAACATACAAACATTTCATTTAATTTATAAAAAAAATAATTAATGTCGCTAAATAATATTTTGCTGTCTTTATTATGGTATTTCCATTGAATTATGACAGCTTCTGTGAGAAGTTGCCAATTTTTGTCGTTTCAAACATTCTAAATGATGTACACAATGTAAAACAAAAATTTCAAACAAGTTTAGTTTATGTTTTGCTGTGATTCTGACAAAATAGTGTTTTTCGGTACTGATATAACAAATATCATACAAATGATGGGTAATTAATCTAATTATTTGCATAATGTTGGATGAAGTAAAAACAATGTACATTTTAAAGAGAAGCTTTTACAGTACGATAAGTTTTGGATTAGATATTCCGCACAACATATAGCGCTAAAATCGGCAATGTTGTCTTTCCGATCTACTTAATTGTAATTCTCCGATGCCGTTCGACACCTGGACAGAAAAATACCATTCATCCATTTAGTAACACCTAACAATATATGGAATATGCACCAATGTCCGTCGATTTTTGTTTTTATTACGTATGCCCGGTTTATTTCTTATAACATAAACTCGATAAGAATACACTGACCTTTATAAGGCGGTGCATATGTAGCGCATTTTTGTAAAAAGGTGAAACAAAAAATATACTCTTATTGACAATAAAAACAGAATAATGACAGAAGTGGAAACTTTTCTTTTTAGGTTTTATAATTAAACAAAATTTTGGTCTCTAGCCTCACGATGATCGTAGGTGATGCTTTTTAAAAAGAAGTCAATGGGTGTAAGATGTGGAGATCGCGCAGGTAACTTAATATCGCCTGTTCCACTGATAACTTGATTTCTAAAATCCAACATTTTCCAGATGTACATCAGGAAGACTGAGAGTATTGGGAAGAATATTATTCTGTAACAAATCGAGGTATACTCTATTCATCGAGTAAAAGACAAAAGAGGGAATCTACTCCTTATGAAAAGACGACCAAAAAAGTGGCCTCTGATGGCGGACATATCCTGTAATGCGAATGCACCAAATTTAAATTTTTAGACACTTATTAACAGTAGCTGTATAATATTTTTCAGAATGTGTCTTAGGCGAGAAAGTTTTAATTAATTATTAACGATAATAGTCTAGAATGCGATACAATTGTTAAAAAACTTCAATATAAATAAGATTTCATGTGACATTTGGGACAAACAATAACATAACCCAACTAAATTTGATGTTAAACAACGAAAGAGACTCTCTTTCCTTATTTAATGTGGCCTCTAAAGATCGCACTTTCTGTCTAACAATATTTTTGCCCCCACTACCCTTACATTCCCTCTTTTTTCTTTTTGCTCGATGACTCTATTATTTAACTTGCCTTTAATAGAAAATGGCCTACTATGTGGTCTCCCAAAATGCCAGTCGAGGCGTTAACTTTTTGAGGACGTTGAGTTCGGTAAACAACACTTTTGTGCTGATTTTTCCATGCTCAATAGCTTGTAATGGAAGGATTGTGTCTCCCTACTAACGAAAGAGAAGATTCATCACTGAATAAAACGTTTTTAATAAAATTTAGTTCATTATTAGCTTTCGTTATTAGAGTTTCACAAAACTCCATTCTTCGAGTCCATTGTTCGATAAAGCTACTGCGTTTTCGAATATTTAAAATTCTTGTAATCGTGATGTTTCCATACCTTCGTTACAGTAACATTGCTAACATCTAACTCTCTAGCAATGCTTCTACTTGAACCTGTTGAATCTACCTCGATTGTTGCACACATTTATGTATCCTGATGTTCTCTTTCCTCAAATGTTTTTGGTGACACTTCTTGAGCGTAACCTTTATTACTTGAACCTTTTCAGTGTGCGTATAAACGGACATGTTGTTTATAAAAATAAATTAAAAATCTACGCTGTTATTGGTAACGGATCAGCGGAGGTTCGTGGAAAGTCGACGGCGCGCAGTATTGCCATTTATATCTAATTCAAAACTTAACCTACTGTATACTGGCGTTGTATTATTTTTTAACGTTAGTTGTTAATAAATTCATTCCAAACTAGGCCTACTCACATTTTATTTTAAAACATTTTATATAGTTTATATAGTAATTAAATTTACTATCAAATGATATTTATTTTAGTTTTATTATTAATTTAATATTTAGTCTTACTTTGTCGGGTGTGTTAGAAGTAAACAACGCAACGTACTCTTGGCAATAATGAAGACGAAATATTTAGCACTTTGTAGATACGTTAGCCGCTGGCGGTGGTAGCAAACCTGATAATATATTGAATTATTTTAATATATTTTATTTAAAATATAAATAAATTAATAATAAAATTGCTATAGATATTTAATTTTAAAAATATTATTTAAATTTTAAAAATACAGAAAACTTAGTATGAAACTTCGCGATAGTATACAGTACTCCCTTCTGAACCATTTTTTTTAATTCTCCTTGTGACTTATTCCCACAAAAAAAAATAATTGAAACTAATATGTTTCGCACATGTAAGAGGAAGTTAAATTACATTTAAATTGTATTATATGTAAATTTCATCAAGTAGGTGTCAAGTGTCAAGTATTATCAATTAAGATCTAAAATATATATTTAAACGTGTGTAGATAAAAAATACATTGTAATACACTGTATGTTATATTAAAAGATTATTATCATATTGTAAATATCGGAAAAATTCCTTCATATTTTAGTTATTACGACGTAATGTGAAATACTCAATTGTATAACATCTAAAAATACAAATAATGTGTCTGATTTACTCAACACGGTAATTTCTAAATAGTTAATTAGCATACCATCTCAAAAGTTCCAGAGCTTTAAACTTAAACAAATTAAAATGACAGTAACCAGTGCAGAATATCCACAACCTTACATAGGTCAAATCAATGCAGAGTTTACAACAGAATTTATCAACATTTCATTTTAGTTCGCAATTATTTTAATGTCTGCAAGATATATGTCATTATCATCATCCAGCCCTCATTTATCACATCCACTGCTGAATATAGGCCTTCCTTAAACCCCATCATATATGTAGGATATCAAATATTACATTTTATTATGTAAGTTTTTTTAACAATTTTATTTATCTTTACGCCCCTGATACTAGGCTAAACAAAACCAACGTTATACGAATAAAGTTATCATTAAAAAACTAAACAAATCGTAAAAAAATAAATTCTTAATTCTTAGGTACCAATAATACAAACAAAGAACCAGTTAATACTTGAGACTTACGCCTGATAAAGACGTAAAAAAATGACGTGTTCACTGAGTATAAGATACAATTATTTCAAATGCAATTTCTTTTGTAAGAACGAGTAAATTTTAGTTGCATTATTTTACAAATCGCTTCTGCATTCTTTTCATCATTTACTAATAAAGAGTCTCTTTTAATTTCTCTAAATAAAAAAACATTTGACATTTTAGCCACTTATAGCCTATTTCATCTCTTTTTGGAGCTTTCTTGAACCCTAATTCTATTACTGTAAACATTTTACCGATAAATACCGTAATATATGTTTAATAGGGGCATTAATAAGCAGCATAGCTTCAAGTAAGAAAACTGTCTTTTCGTGCTGGTAAGATTGGTAAGTGGAAAGGATGATACTGATGAGGCAGACATCATTAAGTTACATTTGCAATTATTTACAGATATATTCATTATACAATGTTAGTGATATAGAGGAATGACACATCCTAATTGAAAATTTTGTACTTATAAAAAAACGGCTTGTGTGCCTTATTATAATTTCTATTGCTGTTTTTATTTAGTATCAAGTAACAATTATTATTACTTACCCTAAATCTGTTATTTCCTTCTGTAGATTCCCCATAGGGAACATCTTGAAAAGCATAGAAATCTTTTCCTTCGGTACTTTTAAGAATATGTCCACGGATTTTACCCAAATTATCCAATTCCACTATTAGGTCATCTTCCTCAAACTGTGATCCCGTTATAGGGGATGAAATTACCTAGAAAAGAAGGTAAATAAGATACGATTTTTAAATGGAATCAGTTTTTAAATATTATTTATACAATTTTTTTACCATGTGGGGTTTTACTAGTTCCATACATTGCGCCACTCAGGGAATGGGGGATATTAATAAAATTACTGGGCGTCTGTTATCTTTATTATAGGGCTCACAAGCTCAACCCCGTTATCCTTCGGGATAACCTGAACTTTCCTTATTTTTTATTCTTTCTTCATGATTGAAACGCAAACTCTTGAAATACGTACCTCAGGTGGTAATGACTCCACTCCTATTCATGGGACAAGAAGACCTTTGGACTCTGGAGAGTGACTGGTTACTCATTTTTCGAAGCAAAGTATCACGCACAAAAAAAATGGACATAAATGGTCAAACGAATTACATGCCGCCACTATATCGTTACTTACGAATGAAACAGGAATATGTTCAGTAATGATCTTCATGAGATGCTGGGAAATTGAGATATTTCAAGTAGATAGAAATTATACAAAATGAAGTAAATACGACAACTCTGGTTAAAGTAGATATTTTTATATTTAAATTTGTATTTACAACTAATTTTAAATTTTTTAGGTGCTTTAAATTCTACTATAAAAATAAAACAAAACTTACCCCTTTATTTGCAAAGTACAGCAAAGAACAAAATACTACTAATCTTAAATGCATGATTCTTTTTAATTTGGCAAATTCGCCATGAGCTCGATTCTTTTATACGAAATTTTAATTTGTTGTCTAATCATAACCCTCTTCAAATAAAAGTAATCAACATTCTTTATTAAAATAATCAATAGACCACTTCATGGATTTCAATGTTTTAAAAATCAAAATATTTTTAAAAACTATTCCATGTATGGTCGAATACTATATTGCATGATATGACTTTTCTAAAATTATTTTTTTACAGATAAATATGTATATAATACTGTGAAAGCCCGAAATCTAAAGAATTTCGAGATAAACCAGTGAATGTCATCATTCGCCAAGTTGCTTAGCGTATGTTCGAAAAATTGGCTAAATATAATATTTTCTAACATTCACCGGTGAATGTCAACATTAATCATACGTTTTTGGTGTATGTTAAATAAGAAAAAATATTTTAAAATAAATTAAAATAATCAATAGACCACTCCATGGATTTAAATCCATATTGCATGATTTGACTTTTCTAAAACAATTTTTTACAGATAAATATGTATATGGTACATTGAAAGCCCGAAATCTAGGGAATGTCGAGATACACCAGTGAATGTTAATATTGACTATGTTTCTTGGCGTATGTTCGAGTACTTCGTTAAATTTAATATTTTCTAACATTCACCGGTGAATGTCGACATTAATCATACATTTTTGGTGTATGGTAAAACATATATTTTTTATCAGGGAAAAGTCAAAAATTTGTTAAGTATGTTTTTTATTTGGGAAAGTAAGTTTATTCCGACTTAGACCAAATGGACTTTTATAAGTGTACTTGTACCAAGTAAGTTGCCACGGTTAAATGACTTGGATGTCAAATAACCATTGTAAATATAGCGGAAGTGATTGTGTAATGTGTTCTAGTGGTTGCTGATATGTTGATACATGAGCTTGAAATTCAGAAAAAACAAGTAATAAAAAAGAACAAATGCCACATTTCTAGCAACTTCCTTATTTTTATATTTCTATACTCATACATTCCATTATCCTTCCTCAGCATCGTATAACTACAAAAATCTAACACTCTCCCTTTCAGACAATTTTCTTTTTATGTTTATCTCTCATTTTCGATTTTTCGACACTGACGCCATTTTAATCTTACAATATTACACTACTTGGATCCAAGGAAGTTGGCTAGCGTCCTACTTAACTTGGATAGAACCTGTTGATCCAAGTATGCGTGGATGAATAGGTGCCACGATCAAAGTAGTTAAAATGGGTTGCGCGCGCTAGATTCAAGCAGACTTTAACTAGATTCACACTTGGATCGGGACGCTTAATTTTCTGTCTTTTAATATAACCAATAAATTGTTGGTGTGCGATGCATTGTACTGATAAGCATAACATTCTCACCTACATTAAATATATACGAGACGATAGTTGCTTGTTTTTGATAAAAAAATATAAAGGAATATAAACTATGGAGGAGGTCACGCCTCTTCACAGTTATCGATTCCGTAGGTAATTTTTTTGTGTTTTTTCGAACTACTAGTAGCGCAACTATTGTTGCGCTACAATATTTCAAGTCTATTACCAAATTGTAACTAGTAAACCACTTATCTAAAGTCACATTATTGTGTTTTTGATTGTATCAATATTTTGTTCAATCAGGCTGTTTGAACCTTTTCACCACATCGTATGGTAAATTGCTAAGAGATAAAGTCCCATTGGGTTGCTTCCCAGTAAGTAGTTATCAATTCACTGCAATCAGCTGTCCACATTCAAATAGGACTACCCTTAGATGTTGCCAAATTTCTACTTCATAGCTTGTAAGTTTAGATAGCTGTGGCCTGATACATCCGATACATTTGGTATAAAATTGCGATGGTAATTGATCATGCCCAGTGTTCTTTGTAACTGTTTTTTTTATTATTGGGTTCTTTCAAATTTATAATAGCTTTAACTTTAATCTAAATCAGGTCTCATACTATCTTTATCGAATGTATTTCCCAAATATGTTACTTTAGACATTTTTTACTGTATCTTATTACTATATAATTTTACTCAAATATTTCTAGCACATTCTAATATTTTATTAAGGATTCTATCATGTTCTTTAAAACTAGCTGCAAATAATAAAAGATCATCAAAATAGATGAGACATCGATCAATATCACCCAAAGTTGATTCTTTGAACAAATTCAGGAGCAATATTTAGCCCGAATGAAAAAGTTAAATTTGCAAATTCCAAAAGGAGTTCCAAATGCACAAACTCTACTGGACCTCTCATCAAGCTGAACTTGGTAGAATCCCTCTGTGAGTGAGGCACACTACACTTAAGGAAAATTATTATTATGGTTAGCTTCTCTTTGCTCCAGTCATACCCGGCTAAGGAGGCATTGCTAGCGCCAGCAAACAATGACTTGGCGCGAGAAGGACTTCTGACGATACGCGCGCGGATCAACAAAAGTCATCCTCACCTCAAAGCTCTCCTAAGCCCTCCTCCACCCTCCCTTATGTACACTGAAGGTGCAACATAAGGGCTGACTGCTTTTTGAAAAAGTCCGCGATTGAGCTGTATTTATGAGCACCATGTGTAATAGGGTGCTCATAAATGTAACTTAAATCATACCCAAGGTGTCGTTAAGCGACTTACTCCCGTTTATTATGAAATCTCATATCGTGAGATAAAAGCGACCGAAAAACGAGGGAGCTGTAATCCTCGAGCCTGCACCTTGGTTAGCGGCCAAATTGTAGCCTCAAGGATCTACGTGGCCTCTCCCGTGGCCTTTTTTTATTTTTATAATTTTTTTGTGAATTTTTTATTATTTTTATATTTTTTTTGAATTTTTATATTTTTTATTAATTTTTTTCGGATTTTTGTATTTTTTTGGGGGTTAGTAGGTATTTTTTATCTGGAATATTTGTTAGTAAGTGTTATAAATGGCGACTGCTAATCTAGTGCCATGTTCTTCACGCTCTCACATATCCCTTCAGTTGAAGCTTCGGTCTAGCATATCTCCATTGATCGTTCTCGTCTCAAGATGTTAGCCGGAAGGTCGATTTTGTGACATCATAACGTGAGGCCGTTTACTTTAAATAAACTTAAACAAAGGGTTAAATTTTGTTTTTTGGTTTTTTATTTCACGAGTTTTAAAAATTATAATCATTTTATAAAAACTTCAAAAAATATAAATTCTAAAAGGAAAACTGAGTTCTAAAATTTAAAGTTTTTTATAAATTAAAGGAATTCTGCGAGACTTCTGTTCTGCAAAATGACCTATTACATCGTCTATAAAACGTTCTCATCCTGTGATTTTATAAATGACTTTTCAATTGAGATTTTTGCCATATTACTCAATCGTGTCTGTCCAGTTGTATTTCTGATGTAATTTTTAATCCTTTTTAGCGCGGAGAAACTTCTTTCTGCAGAAGCACTTGTCACACACTTACACACAAAAATACTCCAATGTTGTTACAATTTTCAAATAAAAATCTATGTTTTATTTAAAATGTACTTTTATACCCCGAGGGAAAAAATGTAGCGAATTGGGTACCTTTGTACCCAAACGGCAACGCTGCTAATTAAAAGAACTACACCAAACGAGAGCGGCATGCCTCTCCTGTTCGGTGAAATAGTGGACAGAAAATAAATAAATCATGTTGAATTTTGCTACATAATATGATGTCTAATATGCCAGACAGAGCAATGCCGTGAGGCTTGCCTCGGCTATAATTTTTAAAGAGAGAATGAGATGCACAGATGATATACTAGCTGCTGGCGCGGAGAATGGAGCCGTTGTTTATTTAATATTTTGTGGTTTAAGCTTGTCCCTTGTCCGGTCCGTAGATTATGAAGAAATATACAAAGATAAGACATCAGGGGTGTACATATTTTAATTTTTTATCATAATGAAAATAAAGTTATTTAGAAAATTCCAAAAAGTTAAATTGTAGTTAAAGAACGTAAATAGTCGATTGATACTGGTGAGGCACTGCCTCACCTGCCTCATAGGACCAGCCGCCCCTGCTCTGAATATCTCTTCAATAGTAGGTATTAAACAATAGTCTTTTTTAAGTTCTTGATTTAAATCTCTAGGATCCAAACAAATGCTTAATGTTTTTATTAGGTTTTTCAACTATAAACAAATTGCCACTCTGCAGGACCCGCTCATTTAAATGTAATATTTAAATCTAAGAGTCAGTTGACTTTTTAATCTCTATTTAAAGGCTAAGAGACCATTCGCGGGTGCTTAGCAACGGGAACAAAAATTATCGTTGAGTTTTAGTTTACATTTTTGATGACATTCACCTAATCAAGTAAATACATCAATATTTTGTTTAATAAAGTCATCTTTTGTTACATTTAAATCTATGTTAGCTACTCTTTGTATCAAATCTAAGTGTAAACATAATGTTAAACCTAAAAGTGGTATAAGGTTATCCTTAACTATAACAAATTCTAGTTGAAATATTTTCCCTTTATATAAACATTTTATTGTAATAATACCAACAGGTTTAATTCTAATTTCACCATAAGCTTCTAAACCTCATATTTTATTGATTTAATTTAAAAAGTAGATTGGTATAATGTTTAACTGTGAAGCTGTATTTATTTCAAAGCCTATTCTAGATTGCTCAATTACTAACCTTTCAGACCATTCCTTATTTCAAATTAATTACTATTTATAACTGGGAATAAGCCACAATTAAAGATAAAAAATACGTTTATTGACGTTTCAATTTCCAATTCGGAAATCGTTCTCAAAATACAAACAGTAAATTAAACAATTTTTTTTTTATCTTTAATTGTGGCTTATTCCCAGTTATAAATAGTAATTAATTTACAATGCCACAAGAAAATAGCTTCAGAACAACATTCCTTATTTCCTTTTATTCCATTTACCTAAATTGATGTTACCATAAATTCTTCCTGTTTACTGTGCATATCTGCTTCTTGAATCTCCTGAACATCTCTTACGATCTTGTTATTACACATTTTCTCGAAATGGTTATAATACAAACACTTATTA